TTTTGAATTTGTTCTTGTAAGTGGCGTAAGAAGGTGGTCCAGTTTCATTTTTTTGCATGTGTCAGTCCAATTTTCCCAACACCATTTATTAAATAGTGATTTACCAAATAATTTAACAAAAGAATTCTTCAAGTAGAGTTTCTCAAGTGTATTTTTATAGATTCCTGCAGGGCTAAAATACCACCCCTACCAGAAGTTAGTCTAATGCATTAACAAAATAATTTCATGATAATTGCATATGTGCTCTGATGAGAATATGTATAGGATGCTATGGAGTCTACTGGATGTGTTAACCCTAAACGCATAAGATCAAAGAGAGCTTCCTGGAGGAGGTGACAAAGTCAAGTATGAAGGGTAAGTAGGAGTTGAACCAAAAAAGGGGAAAAGGAGAGCATTGCAGCAGGGGAAACAGAGTGTACAACTAGGTTGTTGTTCAGGAACTGCAAGCAACCTGGCTGAACTCAGAATCCAAGTACATTGTTCCTTCTTTCTTTTTCACTTAAAAAAATATTTATTGGCTACTCACTGTATTCCAGGCACTCTTTGAGGTAACAGGAATATAGTGATAAACAGAGCAAAGTTTCTGCTCACACAGAGCTTCCATTCTAAAAAGAGTGACGATGAAAACGTAAACAAGATAATTTCCTGATTGTGAAAATTCCTGTTATACAAAATAACAGTCGGTGGGCAGGGAAAGTGTTGCGTTCACAAGGTTGATCAGCAGAGACTTGTCTGTGAAGGTTATATTTGAACCAGCCATGGGAAAAGGAGCCAGTAGTGCAGAGATCTGGAGTTGGAATAGGCAACAAAACAGCAGAAGGCTCTGAGGTGGGTGAGGGAGGGAAGACCAAGGTCATTGGAGCAGAGTGAACAAGGTTGTAGTGAGAGACGGTGGAGAGAAAGGCAGGGGCCAGATCAGGCAGGGCCATTTGAAGAAGTCAGGATTTTATTCTACTTGTGACGAAAAGCCATTGGAAACTTTTAAGCAAGGATTGATATGCTCTGAATTACTCTTTAAAATCAAACCTGGCTGTTATGTGTATAGGGGGACAATACTGGAAGCAAGGAGATCGATTAGGAAGCTTTTAACAGAGGATATACCAAGTTTTGTGGCTTGACTGCCTCAGGATATCATAATGCCACTTAACAAAAAAAGATTAGACTGGAGGAGAAACAAGTCTGGGTGACTGGGCATGTTGAATTTGAATTAGTTTGGGGACATTTCACATTAAAAGAAACTTTCAGTAGAAAACAGGATGTATGGGGGTCTGGAGCTCAAGAAAGAGAACTATAGATTTAAGAATTGCTGACATATGAATGGTGTAACTACAAAAAAAATGCTTGGGATTCCCTAAAGAGTAGGTGTAGTGGGGAGAGGAGACGATGGAAGGATCCCTGTGGACAGAACAGCAAGACTTCTTAGACTAACAAGGAACAACCAAGGAAGGGGGGGGGGGGAGAGAGAGAGAGAGAGAGAGAGAGAATGCCCCAGAAGTGAAAGCATGTCAAATGACAGTGAGAGGTTAAATAAAACTGAAAAGCTTCTATCATTTTGTTTTGTTTTGCTTTGTTTTCAACAGGAAGTCATCAGTGATCTTGAACGCAGTTTATGAAGGGAAGGAGATAGAAAGTAAACAGAGTAGATCAGGGAGTGAGCAGGAGGTAAAGCGAGGATACACTCTTTTCAAAAACTTGGCAGTGAAAAAGAGAGGGGGCAGTAGCTAGAGAGGTATAGGATTGAAAGGGCATTTTTGAAAGGCAGGATAGCTATGCCCTCTGTTATTCCACAATTTACATAATTCTACAAACAACTCAATTCTCCTTTCACCTGCTCAGCTCTCGTCTGCCCTCTCTGCTCACAGAACTTTCCCGGTGTTTAATCTTCTCTTGGCCACAGGGTCCTAAGTGGGGTCACCCCCCCCCCCTGGTTGTATGAGGGTGGCCTCTCCTGTGCCACAGAAGTGTCAAACTCTCACGTTGGCCAGATGATGGGTTACACACACTCCTGCTGGGAGGATCTGGCCAATTACATTCAGATTTTATTATTAACTTAACATGTGAGTGATCATTCTGTTTCTTAAAACATAACTCTCTCTAGGGTCCATTT